GGCCTCACCGTTCAAGATATTGACAGGGTTGGATATGCGGATGAAGGCAATCCCTCAGTTGCAGGAGCTACTGGAGAACGAGCTCATCGACGAACTAGACGTCGACAGAGAGGAAGTGCGTCACCGCGCAAGGGACAACATCGCCATGATCCAAGCGGAGAACCGAAGGTCGTATGACCGACACCGACAAGCCGAGACCGAGTACACAACCGACGAGCTAGTAGCCATCAAGCGAACGCAGTACGGGTCGGGTCTTAAGCTGAAAGCCAAATACCTTGGGCCATATAAGGTCGTGAAAATTATGAGACGGGGACGCTACACGGCGAGGACCACGAAGGCCCGAACCGCACCATCACAGTCGCTGAGTTCATGAAAAGGTGGGACCCATCATCCGAGGCCGAATGATCGCGCAGGATGGCCGAATGTGGGATTGGAACGACGGACTAAAGGAACGGACCTGACAGGCATACGATTGTAGACAAATGCAACCATGCGTACCAGACTACGAAACGAACGATCGGACCGCATTGAACACACCCCAAACTAGACTTCGACAAGATGAACGACAGGAAAAAAATTCAGTGTTAAACCAACCGCCTTCAAGCGTAGTTCGCCCTTATATTTTAATGTGAAATGTGTGTGTAAAATAAACGCTAAAGATTATTAAAATTAATAGAAGTAAAACTGTTTTACTACATGAATGTAGGAAAATAATTTGAATACAATAGAAAAATGATTTGAATACAATAACAAAGGGTAAGATGCGAGCGTTTTTTTTTTGTTTCTTTAGCATACGGAATTTTTATTGGAATTATGAATATTTACTTTTCGCTCTCTTCGCAAAGAAAATATTTATGTATATAAAACAAAGAGTAAGAAAAGTAAATCGTACCTTGTGGTTTGTAAATACAAATCGTTTCAATTACCGGATGTTCCAATTTTACAACGCTTTTTATTCCGTATAGTTGCTGCTCTTCTTTGTCGTCTCTCTCCTTTGCGCCGATTCCGCAAATACGAATTTGCTATTGTAAACACCCTATTCGCTGTACTAATGCTGATCGACAATGATGCTTGTGCTGTGCAATGTTGGTAGATGATACGATGTTTGGTTGTTTCGCTGTTCGCGCTTGCGTTGCTGTGCCAAGTGCTTTTTTCTTTCGTTGCTTGTATTTGGTTATACAGCGCTGCTCGTTCTTAGTTTCGACGTTTGCTCACTGACGTTCAAATTTTCCTGCTCTACCATCCATAGCGCTGCCTGCTGCTCTTCTTTGTTCTCTCTCCTTTGTGCTGATT